AGCCCTCAATCACACCAACCACCACAACCGCACTCACTCACACTCCAAGCCCACCCACTACGCCGGGAGTGAGCCCATTCAACCACACGCACTCACACTCAGCCCCCTACCGACCGGAAGTGAGCCTCATTCACACACGCACTCACACTTCAGCCCTACTAACGACGGAGTGAGGCCTCATCACACACGCACTCACACTCAGCGCCTACTTAACACGGGTAGCCTCATCACACACGCACTCACCACTCAGCGCCTACTACGACGGGGTGAGCCTCAATCACACACGCCACTCACACTCAGCCCTGACTACGACGGGGTGAAGCCTCATTCACCACGCACTCACACTCAGCCCTACTACGCGGGTTGAGCCTCATCACACACGCACTTACACTCGGCCCTTACGTACGGCGGCGTGAGCCTAATATCACACACGCCAGCGTCACACTCAGCCCTTACTTACGGCGGGGTGAGCCTCGATCACACACGCACTCACACTCAGCCCGTACTACGGCGGGGTGAGCCTTCATCACACACCGCACTCACACTCAGCCCTACTACAGCGGGTGAGCTCATCACACACGCACTCACACTCAGCACGACTACGGCGAGGGTGAGCCCTCATCACACACGCACTCACACTCAGCCCTACTACGCGGGCGTGAGCCTCATTACACACGCACTCACACTCAGCCCTACTAACGGGGGATGAGCCTTTCACACACGCACTCACACTCAGCCCCTACTACCGGCGGGGGTGAGCCTCATCACACACGCACTCACAGCAGCCCTTACTACGCGGGTGTGAGCACTCGATCCACACGCACTCACACTCAGCCCTACTCACGACCGGTGGTGAAGCTCATCACACACGCACTCACAATTCAGGCCCTACTACGACCGGGGTGAAAAGCCTCATCACACCACGCCACTCCACACTCCAGCCCTTACTACGACGGGGTGAGCCTCATCACACCACGCACGTCACACTCGGCCCTACTACGGCGGCGTGAGCCTCATCACACAACGCACTCACAGCTCAGCCCTACTACGGCCGGGGTGAGCCTCATCAACACACGCACTCACACTTCAGCCCGACTACGGCGGGTGAAGCCACATCACACACGCACTCACCACTTCAGCCCTACTACGGCGGGGTTGAGCCTCATCACACACGCCATCACACTCATCCCTACGTACGGACCGGCGTGAGCCTCATCACACACGCACTCACACTCAGCCCTACTACGGACGGAGGAGCCTCATCACCACGCACTCACACTCAGCCCTTACTACGACGGGGTGAGCCTCATCACACACGCACTCACACTCAGCCCTACTACGGACGGGGTGAGACCTCATCACACACGCACTCACACTCAGCCCTCTACGGCGGGGTGAGCCTCATCACCACGGCACTCACAGCTCGGCCCTACTGACGGCGGGGTGAGCCTCATGAACACGCACTCACACTCAGCCCTACTACGGCGGGGTGAGCCTCATCACACACGCACTCACACTCAGCCCTTCATCTAAGATCTCCCAACACAAATACAGAGTTGGAATTAAAAATGCATCTGCATCTCTGGTCTATATCTCAAAGTTGCACGTCTCGAATTTTTCTAACTCGAATATGTAGAACTCTCTCTATTTGGATTTTGATGAAAACTGTATCTTGTACGTAAGTTACTTGCAAACCAGTGACTACTCACTCATGATAATAATTTCGTTACAATTCTAGTAAATTCTTAGAATTTTTTACAAATTCTAGTAAATTCGATTGCAAAAATATATTTTACAACGTCGAAAGAAACAAAGCTAGTTGTGCTAGACAAATTTTGTTGTACTAGTTAGTTTTCAAAACGCCTTAGTCTAGAATAGTATTTTGTTATTCTAGCGCGGGAAATGCAGATTAGCAAACTACTCAAAAATGTATTACTTTTTAAAAAAAAGAGATCTTTAGTGAATATTTAATCTACCAAAAAAACTTTATCATAAATATTGCACTTTTGGAATGTTAATTGTTTGCAATTTTACGAAATAGAGTTCGTTGAAAATTTGTCCAGCGTCACTTTTCAAACTGCCCTTTACTCCATTAAGAGGGGGAAATATAGAAAGATATTGAAGTGGTTTTTGAGAAAATAATTCATGTAACATATTCTCTAAAATCAAAATATCCATTTTCAATAACTCGCAGCGTATTGAGTTATTTTTCTTCAAAATTTCCCTCCACTTGAACACACTTTGTCCAGCGTTTCTCCATCTTCAGTATTCCTTCCCAGAAGTGAGAGTAAAGTGTAGTAAATAATTATCTACGGCCCTCTCAACTTCTTCATTGGATGCGATGTGTCTCCCAGAAAGAAACTTCTTTGTGTTTGGGAACAGATGGAAATCTGAGCGGAACAGATGGAATTTGCAGTGCCATCTGTGCGTCAGGTCGAGAACTTTTCACTCCATAAATTGCGTTTGTGACATTAGTCATTGAAGAATCGTCGTGCTGGAACTGTTTTCACAAATGCGTTGGAATTTGCTAATATTATTTCCATTAGAACAGGTATAAACATTGCTAGATGCCGATGTATTTCCGTGAAATGCACGCAAGGATACAGTTAACAGAATTGTCTTTTTCAGTTTATTATTTTGAGGAAGCGTGTGTCTTTACTTATTATAATTGGAGTTTTGATTGTACTTCCCTGAACGCAATGCGTTTTGCAGGTTTTCATTCATCCTTGGGGCTATTCGCATCAGAAGCCAAGTGACTACCCCAAACTGGTAAGTGGCCGCTCCAGAGTTCCTTGTTGTTCGTAGAAGCTCTCAGTGCGTAAAAAGATAAAAACTCTATTACCACCCTGTGGAGTAGTTTCGTGAAATATATCCATAACGTTCAAGTCACGTTTCGGAGGGAGCTGCTTCAACGAGTTGTTTCAGATCATAGCTGCACACGCAGCCGCATTGCGCGTCAGATGGGAAACCATAAAACGAATTGGTCGAGGTGTTGCTTCGCTATAATTGCAATGGTGATATTTTTATCGTGTTCGGCAAATTTCATTGTAAAGCTGTCACTGCGAGTTGGAAATATGTTTCTCAGCCAACATACGTGTTAGACAGAGTTCTGGGCTTGATGCTAAAATAAAAGTGACTGGTAATGTACCTATTCGCGAGTTTGGTAGCCGAGCAAGACGTACTACGTGACCAGGAAGAAGAAGTCAGTCATTTATTTTAATATAATAACGTTCTGATAAATACATTATCAGAAGTTCACAGTCAATATTTTTTCAGAGCTCTGCGGTAACGTCATTGGCAGAAATATTGGGATTTCAAAGAACATTGATGACTGGAAAAGTGCAGAAGGACACAGAGTCCCAAATTCACATAATCGCAGTTGCGACATTAATCTCAATTAAGAGTACGTTCTGCGATTAATTCCACATTGCGTCGTTTTTACTTGCAAATTATTTTTGAAACACATAAGGTCAACTTTACCGATATTGCAAGTTTACTAAAAATATTCCAAGAAATGTTATTTATACGAAGTTATTTTTACACCCTGTTCTGCTACAATTCCTTTGAAATACTAAAATTCACAATTCATCTATTCAGAAAAGTAGTTAAAATAATTGAGTATGAATTTACTCAACTTCAAAATAAATCAATGAATATTTTTTCTTATATTAAAAAATTCAAATAAAATCAAATATTGGAGTTAAACAAACAAATGTATTGAGTGTAGTAGCAATTGCATTGAGGAAAGGGGAAGAAGAACCTTTTTGTAGACCTTGGGAGATGTCCAAAAGCTTTTCCTTTGAGTACACGTGTTATAGTAAAAGAAGCCAAGTCCTTTAATACAGAGTATTTTCGTTTCGGATACCGACGCACCTTTCACTTCGAATTGGCAGGATGAGGGGTGGGCGAGTTCATGTTAAATACAAGGCTCGGTGCCTTTCCACTGCCTCCCATTTATAGTCCAGAGGACAATGTTTCTCCGCACCGAGAATTATGTACTGAAGCGGCACTAGTTTTTCGTATGACATTTTGGCTGCACCTTCTGTACTTGACATTGAGATGAGGTTTCCATTAACAATAATCAAGAAAATTGTTATTAGTTTCCCTTACGGCTTCGTGTCTTCTCAAGTAAAACGAAGATATCGCGGGTGAAATCTTGTAGCTATTTTTTTTTATTTTAATCCCTTTTGTCTACAAGTGAACGACAAGCATGTCTCGACATTGGCTTCCTTATAATTACTACTTAAAGGAGTTTTTTCTTGAATAAGTAGATGTTATGTTTGTAACGAACGATGCCTTTAAGATGCAGTTAGTATTGCACTGAAACATTTCATTGCTATAGTCTGTACGATCAATAGATTGTAAAATGATAAATGCATCATATACATTATGCAAAGGTGTATAAAAGAATAGCATAATACCGATGTCAGTAAACTTGAAATGCAAATGGTCTGTGACATACGGGGTAAATGGAGTAACGCGAACAGAAGACTCGTCAGCCCGAAGAATGAAGGGTATGAATCGGCCGCTCGAGGTTAGTGGCCATAAACCGTCGGTGGCTCATTGTGTATCTTAAGACGCCATTATTTCCCCTGCAGATTTACTTGTCGTGCGCGCTGAAGTCGTCCGAAAGGTATAAATCATCTTCAAATTAGTTCACTTTGCAGCATATCTTCATGGCACTTGTCCCCTGCCAATTAGAATGCATTATTGTGGAGTATATTGTAATGTTTTCTTACTACGTCTATATGGCCTGCACTTTGCGTGAAAATAATCTTTGTTACATATAAAATTTGCCCTTTTCCATTGTGTAATACCAATGTTTTTCTGACGCGCTTCTTTTCAACGTTCTTTTAAAAACAAGTATTCTTTAGGAACAGAAAAGGGTTATTAATATCATTATTACTTTCTAGCATGTAAAATTGAAACATTCTGCGTGCATTAATACTTTCTCGATTCGATACCACTCGATACATTTTCAAAATTTCCCCATAACTCCTCATTTTTTTGATTGAACTTTTTATACAAAAAGCTTGAAAATGCTTAAAAAATGGATCAGGCCAAATTTTGATTAAATCTATGAATTTTCAAAAATTGCAAACCTAAAAAGAATGCGAAAAGTATTGTTACAATGACACTTTATTTAGTAAGCTGTGCATGGTTTGAGAAACAAACTATGCTTACTTTATATTTCAGTCGCAGCAGCCGCAAGAGAATTTCTATGCGCAATAATACGTATATCTCTGTCATTTGTTAAAATACTCATTTAACATCAAAATTACGTGTAAGTACTACTTCACAAACTGCCAACTTTTATCGTATCAATTCATTTGAAGAATATAAAACTAGCTTGTTTTGCTATATGAAAAACCGAAGATGATATTTTACTGAGTGACTGAATGACTGTATTGAGTTTTCGGTGCACCATCTTCTGTGATCATTAGCCCCGTTAATATAGTGCATGTTATATCTCTGAAGAAGGCAATGAACCTGCCCCGCTAGAATGACTATATTGAGTTTTCGGTGCACCATCTCCTGTGATCATTAGTCCCGTTAATATAGTGCATGTTATATCTCTGAAGAAGGCAATGAACCTGCCCCGCTAGAACATAGGATCTATGAGATTGGATTTTTGGCACAAGATACAGAGCTAGGTCAAATTTCAGGTATCTCCGAAGAGAATTCCAGCGACTGGCTGCTCCGATCGCTAGATTTCCCTGATACCTCCCATCAATATTCGTCGAATGCTGGAGCAGTGCCCTGACACATGGGCATGGACAGCGCACGATTTATCTTCGCTCTTTCTTGTCCTATCCACCACCTTCCCAACACATGCTAACATACGCGACACTACCCTCTTCCATGCTTGCCCCGGTTCTAGCACTGCTGCGCTGAGAAGATGCGTTGAGAGAGAAACGTTGCTTGCATGGTGGCGGTTAGCGCTGGATCTGACATTTAAGCGTGAAAAATCACTGACACGTCCTGGGGGATATCATTTCTTGTGGAATCTAATTATCTCTGTAGTTGAAACAACAGGATTCCCCACTACTTGTCTCCTGAGACGTGTCTGGGTTACCAAACACTTTGTCTCTTCTCCGGCTGAAGAAAAAGCAACTGAGCGATGGTACTGCTTATGGTCTGTGTGAAATTCTCGTTGCGTTGACGTTTGATGATGACGTCTGCAGTAACGGCGCGCGTCGATGCCTGCGCACACGAGTCACTTATCACGCGTCATAGATTAGGCGTAGATCTGTCTAGTGCGAAAAGCAATCATTGTCGTAGGCATCAAAGGTTTTCCGTCGTAGCTTGAGCTGTGGACGCAACAGCCGCCTCCATCGGCGCCCGCGTGCCGCTCCGCATAAGACAGTGTAACCTACGACGCGCGTTGAGTGACTCGTGTGCCCGGGCCTCACAGCGCGTGCGCGTGCGCGTGCGCAGGTGGCGCTGGGGCAGGAGGTGGCGGGCGCCATCCGGCGCGCGGGCATCCCGCGCTTCGACGTCGGCAACTGTTTCGAGATGCTCGGTGAGTGCACGCACCCGCGCTTCCCTGCGTACGTCCAAATGGATGAAAGACGTGTCTTGTCTCAGGGTGTGCGAGTGTTGTGCTTGGTGTTGGAGCAGGCGGCGCGGCAGACGACGACCTGGCGATGACGGAGTGATATCTGAGGGTGTGTGACGTGTGGCGATGATGTTGGGCGTGTGGTGAGCGAGATGTGTGTGCGCAGGGATGGAGCGTGTGACGGGGGCGGCCAGCGACGACTCGTGGAGTGACGAAGTAGGCTGCGTGCCGCGGCGCGCCTAACTTCTCGTACGACGACTGGACGATGCAGCACCGTCTCGCCGTCGCTTCACGACGTCTTCGGGTCGTGCGACATCTGGAAGCGCTACTGTCGCTGCCGATCCCTCGCGAGGGCTTCTAGTTACCGGCGTCACTGGGCTTGCTTCGTCAGCGGACGTTCTCGGGCTGCTCTAGCCGCGCCGCCCTCCGCCCCCCCGCCCCCCTCCCCTGCCCCCTCCCGGCCCCCTCCGCTTCACCGCCATGCGCGCCCCCGTAGCGCCGGCCCGCCCGAGTTGCGGCGGCCCCCTCCCCCCCGCTCCGCCCCCTCCGCCCCCTGGCCCCCCTCGCCCCCTCCGCCCCCCTGCGCCCCTCGTCCAGCTCCAGCCAGCCGCCCGCCTCACGCTAACCTACCCTCGCCCCTCGCCCTGCTCTAACGCGTCCCTGCCACGGACATATGTTGCAATTCCACTGTTCCTCCATTCATTAGCAGGCGGGCGTCCAACAAGTGTTCGAAATGAGGGGTCTCTAAACTGCAACTAAAGAAAGAAATGAAACTTTTTTTGGAAAGGACAAAGAGCGGACATACAATAGTGATCAAATGTACAGTGTGTGAGCTGCTATTATAGAAGAAAAGATTACTTATTACTGTGTACTCTTGTTCATGATTAATCTCCGATGAAAACTGATTGTTGCTTAAATTTTTTTTATTCGGCGAGATGGCCTAAATATTGAGACAAATTGTTAAAAACATTTGTTATAAGCTCTTTTATATGCCAAATAAGGAGAAATAGAAGGATATAGGTTTCAATTTTGGCTATTGTTTGGTATGCCTTTTTTTAATGTTCACGTGATTTCTTTTCGTCAGAAAATTAAACAAGCTTTATGTGACGCATTGGGGAGAAGTATAATCTTCCGTGAAGCAATATAATTTATTAATAACTTAGAATAATTAAACTACTTCTCTATTGTAAAGGCTAAATAAGGAATTTTATTTACAATGAATTATGTTCTAATATTACTTGTATAAATATTTTATTTATTTAATTAACATTTAAGAAACAAACGTGTTTGAACATGTGCTGGTTCGTGTGGGAAATGGAATGGAACTGTTTGTAACCACTAAGCGCAATGTATAAATATCAATTTCATGGAGAATAAATAATTTTTCATAAGTGACCCTGCAAACACATCCGCTTCGTGCGCTACGTCCGAAGGCGTTTGCGGAATTGCAAAAGTTAAAAATAATGGGAGAAAGTATGCGTTGTGCTACAGCACCGCGAGTTGTTTCATTGTCATGGTCTAGAAACATGATCCATTATTAATTATCTATGTAGAGAATTTGTGGAATGCTACCAAGGAAATGCTAAAAACTAACGTAATAAGAAAAGTATAAATATTTACTAATTTAGATATCGAGTCCAGTTAATGATCTTATCAACTGCTCAGACATTATGAATTAATAAGAATATTTTTTGTCAAAAGCAGTAAAAAGCTGTTGTTGAAGTGTGAGAGAAGTATAATCTTTGCATGTTTCCATGAAAAAATTCAAAGAACACCAGTTTGTTAATAAATAATACGAAATAAAATGTGAATTAAAACATGTTAATCTGTATTGTTACGTTTATTTAATTAGGATGATTACTTTCTCCAAAAAACGTATTGAAGACTAAGAAATATTGTCCACTCTTCTGAAAAGCGAACACTGAGCCGATTATTGAATTTAATTCCAGACTATAAAAGTCATTCACGCAAAGGTCATTTTTACTTTCCCGTACGTACGTATATATGGAGTAATATACGTAGTATAGGAAAAGTTACGTAACGTTGCAGAAACTCGATTTCGAGATTTCAACTGAAATACACATTTTGGGGTACCCATTTTACGATACCCGTTTTCGGTTCAATGATTTTTTGTTAATAATCGGATATAATTTAAGTAGGGCCCCAAAAATGTATTTAGTCTACGAATAATATATGGTTTCCGTGTAAGGTATTTGTCTTGTTGCATGTCATTATAGCTTCAGAGATTAAGTCGCTCGATGTTAAAACTGCTGCATCGTCAGATAACATAAGATTACATAAACGCCATATTAGTCTATTCTTTTGTTGTTGTTTTTTCAAAAATTACAAAAATGTTATTTTTTGACTTATCTCTCACGTCGTTAATATTTGCCGACGATAATCTGAGCAGCAATTTGCTCAGATTATTATATTTATGAGTGCATGAGCTTTAAATAATGTCACATAAAGCTTCTCGAAAACTCGATCGCATTCTATGAAGACTAGCTCAAAATTTCGCAATTTCAGAAACGCTGAAACTCCATTTTCTCAAACACGATTCCAATTTTTTCTTTCAACTTTTCGAACAGATAGTGTTAAATGCACTTTTTATTATGACGGAATGTTAATTTTAAGGTATTTTTCGTTTTTAAATAAGTACACCAATGTAGTTTTTAAAATATCTCTCACACCGTAAATATGCACATTTCCATCAATTTGTAAACACTACTGTATTTGTGAGCTAAAGTACTTAAGATGACTTCAAATAAAGTTTTTCGAAAACTCAAAACTTTTCTGTGGAAAAGTGCTTAAAATTTCGAATATACTGTAGCGCTTAAACGCCATTTTCTGAAAAACGGATCCAAATTTTTCAAAGAGAATGGCAATTTGGGACACGGTTTTACTGTTCTTTGATATTCATAAAATAACACTAGTTCTAGTATTAGTAAACCGAAATATTTAGAAAATTTCAGAAAATGTATTTTGGGCGGCAATTGATGGCAGCAGGCAAGAGTATGTGGCAAGTTCAAAGAGCTAGAAGAGGCCAAAGGAAATATAAAACTAATCCGGGAAAGTCTGTGCTATTCTGTAGCACCACTAGTTCGAGCATGAGGGGAAGAACCTGAGTCATAGACAACTGTTGAAGATAGCAGTTAGATATGCAAGAGTATGTACCCGATTCATGTAAAATATATTCAACAATGAATATATCCGTTAGAAACTCCCAAAGCTTTCAGTCAGTTAAGATGAATCAGGGAATATCAATTTTCAAGAAAATTAGCTGAACGGTTTAGGCGCTAGCGTTAACTACAGACGTACAGACAGACAAACGTACAGACAAACGTACAGACAGACAAACGTACAGACAGACAAACGTACAGACAGACAAACGTACAGACAGACAAACGTATTGACAGACAAACGAACAGACAGACAGACAAACGTACAGGCAGACGGACATTATGCCGGCAATACGAGTAGTTTTTTTTTCGTATGAGACACCAACATAACATGAATTCTGGCTAAACCACGAGTTTTTTTCTAAATTTAACAATAGTATTTATCCCCTTTTTCATTACCAGAACCCGGAAATAAGGTTTATTCTGGCGAAACTTCGGAGTTTTCTGGCGCACGATTCTATAACTTTCTCTTCTTACGAAGAATTCGTAAGGCGAGAAGGTAATAATTTCTGAATCGTTAGGGATATCGGAGTTTATGGTATGGCTAGTATTCATAATATATTTAAATATCAATCCGAAAGATTCATTACTTTACTTAAATAGTTTCATACAGATGTACAGAAACTCAACAATTGATTTGACGTGACATACATTTTATAATAGCAAAAGAAAGTTGAAAATAATCTTTAAAAGTTACAAATTGCAAAAGCACAATCAGAAATGTCCGGTTTATTTGTATATGTAATTATTGCATTTGTGAGTAGAAATGCTTTAAATGATTATCAATAAAGTTTGTCGAATCCTTAATAGTTTTCTACAACAACATCAAAGTAAAATCCTCGTGTGGGACTGGAATTAGCGACTTCTTAGTTTCACGTGATAGAGCCTAACATGCCACGTAACAACCTCGGCCATCCAGGAGGAGAAAACCTCTACACTTTCATATTACTCAAGTCACAACTGTTTCAGTTCTAGCATTACGGAGCAAAGAAAATGTGAAAAAACAAGGGGTTCAAAGTTGCAAATTCGAAAACCAAATTCACACTTCAAAATTATTTATCTGAATTGATTGTATTTGTTAGTAGAAACGCTTCAAATAATTTTCAATGAAGTTTCTGCAATTTTCAATAGTTTTGTTCGGCAACACAGAGAATTGTGACAAATAACTCCCTGAGCGAAGCTTGAAGAAGCCGACCTTGCCTCCGAAGGACGGAGACAATTAACATCATTTAATCAATCTCGGTCAACCGGGGTCGTAGTAGGCTATAAGACTTTTTGGGGCGAAAATTCGTCGTTTTCCGCGGCATGACAACATAACTTTCTCTTCTTACGAAGAATTTGTAAAACGAGAAAGTAAAAAAAAACTTCTTTGGTATCAGGCTTCCGCAAAACGAGTATTTCCCCTGAAATCTCGAAATCGATTTTCCGCAGCATTACATAACTCCCTATACCACGTATATTACTGCGTATATACGTATGTATACGGGGAGGTAAAAACTGTTCTTTGGCCGACGATACACGACAGCTGGCAAGAGTATGTGGCAAGTTCGTATAGCTAGCCGAGACCAAAGGAAACAGAAAACGAATACTGAAAAGTCTGTGCCATTCTGTAGCACCACTAGATACTTTATTCCGCTTTCTTCCACAAATATTATTAGCTTGTCAGTTCATCAAACAGGCACTACAGCGCCACGTGCCAGTCAGCGCGGGCCAGTGTCCAGGCGCCGCATCGCTCAACTGCGGTCGTGTTTCCTAAGGGAGTAGGAAGGCGCGGAATTGTGCTGGAGGGCTGTTGCTGCTTGCCACTGCTTCAATTTGCCTTCTAAATATGTTACGGTCAGATTCATACAATTTTTTTCTGGAATATATGTACATATCGCTTAAGTGTTGATTTTATTTCGGTACCGTTAATG